ATATATTATATATTTTAAATAGTTTAATATATATATATATATAGACAGTAATATATGGATATTTTTACATTGTATTTTTTATATATTTTCTTTATTCTGATTTCTCCTAAAATATTTTGCAGTGAAATTGAATGGTGGTCGGCGTGTTGTTGGAATATTAAGAGGTTTTGATCCATTTATGAACATGGTTATAGATGAAACTATAGAAGAATGTAAAGATGGTACCAAAAATAATATTGGAATGGTGGTAAGTTATGCAGTAAATTTATACTTATTTTTCTGAAAGCAAATTATGCAGAAATTAAAAAGACATCCTCTAATGTTATTTTTTTATCACTAATATTAATGAAAATAAATTGTGTATTTCTAGGTAATTCGTGGCAACAGTGTCATCATGTTAGAAGCATTAGATAGAATATAGTTTATACTTTATAATTTTACATTCCTTTAATGTATATTTTTAAATAAATCGAAATCTGTCCTTTAAGATGTAATCAAGATTATCAAGATATTATACATTTGGAACTTTGACAAATAGTATAATTTATTCTAATATTTTTGTACAAATGATTTTTTTCTTTGACAAAATTATAGTACATATTGTGTTTTAGGCTTTCGGAAAAAAGCTGTCAATAAATAAATCTGTCTATTGGTTTCATTGCAATTTTTATGAGAAAGTATTACATGTTTTCGGTCCAAGATCCTAAAGAATTAAATTTTATTTAATGTTTATATTTAGAAATTTCTTTGTAATGCAATATAACAATTTGTTTATTTCCAGTTATCTGGGGATTAAGTTTATATTAAATTGATATTCATTTAAGTTTGCATACTTTGAACATTTTTATATTGTTTTTATATTTTTTACTCAATATTACGCAATTGTTTTCTTACTCTAATAATTTTTTATTGTAGTCACTACAGTAAAATCATTTAAATCGATTCAAAATCAATTTAACTAAATATATATCATGAATTTAGGTTTGATTAAGAATGCATAGAAAAGTATAAAATATTAAATTATTAATAGATTTATAGAATTGTAAAATAATTTTTATATACTTGTTTGGATATATCTTTCTGAAATATTAAGCATATAACTATTTATTAAATATGATTATATCCGTTTGATTATAGCTCTAGTAATTTAAAATCGTATTACGTCATTAATTGCTCTCGAAGCAATCAGAACTCATTGCAAAATTATATGTTTTTAGTGTCATGTGTATTGTATGTATAATAAAAATTTCAGGAATTAAATCTGAATTTTTTACTTGATAAGAAGATGCACTAGTAGTAGAACAATCCATTCTCGTCAAATGATTGTCAAAGAAAAAAATTATTTATACTTACTACATGAACACAAGAAGTTTATTGATAAAATTTTATTACAAACATAGGAGCTATAACAATTTTAATACTGCATTTCATTTTTATTTTTATACTGGTCAGTACATCGAATTAAATAAACTTTTTTTAATAAACTATTTTACTAAATGTATTATAATTACAAATTAGTATAAATACTGTAACATAATCTTAATTAATTAATTCAATTCCTTGTCAAATTCAAGAAATATTTTCATAATCAGTTTATTCTATATTTTTTAAATTTAAATATTTCATTTATACAGAGTGTCTCATAATCCATAAATTATTTTTAAATAGGGCAGATAGAATAGATGAAGTTGAATAGAAAAGTCCTCTATTATTTTGCAATTTTCGCAATAATTAATAGGTGCAGGAAGGAGCATACGAGCTCGTGAAAAAACGATTCAGTATGCACTCACGATGCTAGATGATGCAAGATGTTTGGAAGTATTTTACATACGACAATAGCAATCCAGAATAATGCATAAAAAAACATTAGATTTTTATCTCTTCTCATCACGCGTTTGCTCATCATCACCAAATGCATGCTTATTCGCAGATATTTTTTATTTTTCGTTAATTATTACGAAAATCGCAAAAATGCAAATAATTGAATTATAAGACATGCTATATTTATCATTTTATATTTTTGTATCATAGAAAACATTTTATAAATGATACTTGAAAATAAATTGGCTCACTTTGCAACTGTATCAACGCAAAAAGTAATTATACATATATCAGAGTAGACAACACTCTCATATATTTTATGTTTTATGACACTGAATCACTGAATCAATTACAAAGCTTGTTCTTTATAAACATATGCGCCTTTATATGTAAAATACATATAAATTCAGTACATATCTGCTAACTGTGAGATTTATTCAAACTATCTAATAATAATAGACGTGTATATCAAGCAATATCTGTTCACAGCGCAAACATCTTTTTATTTATATATATATATATATATATATAAAGAGAGAAACATAGAATATACATAAACAGATCTTATTTCTGTCAGACAGTAATCTACAAGTTTATAAAAATAAACACGATTATATATTAGAAGAAATTTCTGCTTTACAAGGCACTCAACATTTCATTAATTTTTTGCATTACAGGAACATCATTTACTCTCAACAAGTGATAGATGTAATATCTCATGTAATAAAATATTTTATGTCGTATAATATCTTTTACTTATTTTAGCAATAAGACAGAGCACAACAGATATGGAATAGTGAATATTTCACGATATATGCGTAACATATAAACTAAAATTTATTATTTGAAATATTTTATAATTTCACATTGTTTGTACTGTGTGTTCTGTTCTTATAATAAATTGTTTTATAAAAAAAGATTTCACTGAACATACAACACGCTTAATACATACTGAAATTAGCTATTTTTTTTATTTTCGGATATTTTACAGATATGGCGCATTTCAGCCGAAAAAAGAAATAGTACTTGTAGATAAACATTATCTTAAAAAAATGAAAAATAATAAAAATGTCTTATGCATAAATCTATATCATAAGATAAATATAAACGTAGCTTACACTACTTTTTATATGCCTCTTCAAATGAAAAATAAAATATAAAAACAAAAAGAAGTATTTCCTATTTAATTACAACTCAAACTGACTTATAATTAATAAAGACGATTTCACACTATGCAGAGAAAATTTTTAATCTGTGTTGACATTTAAGGTTATTTTAGAATAAAGCCAGTTTAATACATTTAGACTAACACTTCTTATGTATATAAATATTTCGTATATCAACATATACATGTCAATGTATAACGTCGTCGCAACGATTATGTATATTTTTTTTGTCTGGTGCTTTAATATGCTAACAAATTTATTATTTGTATTGTTATTATATGTTATTATAACATTTGTCATAAAAATAAATTTTTTAAGATTTTCAGTTGATTCTACAAATTATAAAATAAAATATTTAAACTATACTCATATTAATTATAAAATATGTAAATATATCAAATTAAAATGTATCAAATAATAGCTTAACGTAACGATAAATACAGAACAAATAATATAAATCATGTATAGAAAAAAAATCTTTTCATCGGAAAATGTATCACAGTTAATGTAATCTTACTGGGATAGATTTAATTATATAATTGCTAAATGAAAAAATTACAATATGTGAATATCTATGTAACTGCTTCATATGTAATGTTATTTTATTTGGAAAATATTAAGTTATGTTACATATGTTAATATTTTTCAAATATGCTATATAAAGCAGCTTCAAAAAAATAATTAAAATTTATTGGTAAAAGTATTTTACGATGGTCAAATGTTAAATGAAATTTTTCTATTTTACATACTAAAAAATAATTGCATGTTCAATATTCAGTATTATTTTTTAAGACTTTTATAAGCGATAAGAGGAAGTTTAGAGTATCCAAAATAGATTATTAACGAAATTTTATCATTCACTATAATTTGATCTTCTATTAATCTTTGTAAAAATAATTCATTTTTCATGCTTCAAATAAATATTATCTTACAATTGTAATAATCTTTAAAAACTACATGTGTATAAAAATTTTATATGCATATATAATTAATATTTTATATTAGAGGAATGTGAAGAAAAATTATCAGTTTAAACATAATTTTGATTTCTTACAGCAGCCGAAATAATAATCTTATTAAAATAGCTATGTTAAATTACCGCGTATAAATAAAATTTAAAACATTATGCTCGCAAAAAGAAACATGAGCAAGTCTGATTTATCGCGGTTTTTATTTACGCAATTGTGAGTCACGACGTAAATTAAAAAATATTTGTATCGATGAGATTCACACGCATTCCATATTATTAGGTTATATAACGAGTTCAAGAGCACAATCATTATTTCGACATTAGAATAAATTAAATTTTAAATTTTCACATATATATATCACTCAAATGGATGAATATTTAACGCGTTTTGATTGCACGATAATTCTTCAGCTGCTCTTCTCCAAATATTCCCACAGACTTTTTTAACAGATTATATTTGACGGAATATTTTCACAACTAAAATATATTGCACGCTTTATCTCGATGTAATAACAGATTCTTGCTTGAAATTTTCAGGATTGACAATTTCTTTCACGGAAACGAAGGTGAATCCTTTTGTCTTTGCATTGTTGCCTTTGTTAATTGTCGATAATTTTTCCGTATTATATTTCTCGATTTCATTCTGACTGTTGGATGTATCCTCGCATTTTAATCTCTTTACTTTCTTTTCGTACGAATCCTGAATTAACGTATGACTTGTTTCATCTTTTGAGAATTCTAGCTCTTTTTGCTTTTCTAATTGAATGTTCGCTTTATTGACACTCAGTATCGAATGTGTTTGAACATCATTTTTGAAGGGAATAGGTGATGTGCAAGTGTAATCGCACTTAAGCTCTTTCTGATCAGTATGCTGATTAGTTATATGTTTCTTCATGTCGTAATTATTACTGAAGGATTCATCACAAAAATTACAAAAAAGAGTTTCTCGCCTTTATGTTTTGCTATATGTACCTTGAAATACCAGCCAGTAGTAATATTTTTCGAACAGTAGACGCAAAAAAAATTCTTTTTCGTTTTCAGCAATTTTGAATTTTTGCGTACTTTTGATATCAAATTTGATTGTACCAGAACATTAGAAGTGTCTAATTTCGTGGCGGCAGTATCAACGGCTTTATCAGCCGATTGAACGGACGGCGAATTCGGCGGATTGGTCGCCGATTCTGTAACTTTCTCTGCAACGATACAAAACTTAGGGATTCCCTGCGTGTGATGTAATAATGACGGCGGGCTTATCAAGTTAGTTATAGGTACCACGCGTATTGGAGCAAGAAGCGTTTTAGATTGAACCGGTGTGGTTGTTAATATACGCGATGGTGATACGATCCAATTGTTTATCGCTATAGGTTGACTAGTAGCAGGTTGAGGCGAAACTGCGAGGTGAAGACATTGTTTCTGTGAAGGCATAACTGAAGAAGGTGCGGAAGTTGTGATAAAAACGGAAGTTGGAACTGGAGTCGGAGTCGAAGTTGAAGTAGTTGAAACTTGAGCTACAGCTAGAGCTGGAATTGGAACTGGAACTGGAACTGAAACCGGAACTGCAATTGGAACTTGAGCTGAAGTCGAAGATAAAGTTTTATCTGGAGTCGGAGTTGGAGTAGATACCAAACGGGAATTCTGTTGCAGATTTGGATATCTTACTTGACTTAATGAGTTTATTTTGTTTTCTACTAAATGCGATGTGTTGCAACAAATTGCGGCGCTCTGCGACGAGAGGGGCTTGCTTCCAAAAATATTCGTGACTTTAGTTATTGACGAATTAATTTTGATAAGTTGAGTGTTAGTCAAATTAGTGTCAGTCGATTGAGATACCGAGCTAGGTACTGAGATCGTGTTGACAATCGGTCGTTGACTAGATACTGTTTGCGGTATAATTATCAGCTCTTCGTTTTTCCACAGAATTTCCATCGCTCTGGCGGGATCGGAATAATTGTGTTTTTTCATTCTTGCGATTTCTAAGATTTGCAGTTCCCGCATTCGCATCCGCTCCTTCAATAAATGTAGTCTATCCACGTTATTATGGACATATTCATTCTTTCTTGCACAATTCTTATGGTATACTCGAGACATCCATTTCTTCAATGTTATTCCACAAATATCGCATACATGCGATCTATCGCATCTGTGTAAATTTATTAACGCACGACGACAGCGATTGTGATCGATACTTAATGCATCGCAATATTTATTTTCGCAATGTTTTGCAACTGTTGCGTTTATCTCGTCATCTTCTATATTTACTGATATCATCGGTGACATCGTATCTTTATCCACATACTGCTGTACTGTCACGTCACAAACGATGTTTTCACATGGCTCACGATGACCACATAATTTCTTTTCAATGGGTAACAGAGCGATTTCTGACTTTTTATCCTCTATTTTCGAAGGTAGAAGATTGGCGTCTTCTTTTTCTTCTTCTGCAGTTCTAACAGGATGTATCGATATATCAGCTGGACTTGAATGACTTGATGTTGCATTTATACCATTTCTTTTATGCCAAAACATATCCTTATTAGATTCCGTCAATAGGTTTAAAGGAATTGTCTTAATTATAAGATTTGGTTGATTAAAAAGGCGTTTTACCGAATCTGATTGCAATACCTGTAAACAACAAAGTTCATATGATTCTCAGTTATGAATTATAAGTTGTCAGTTGTAAAATTATATAAAATTGTATAAAATAGTATTATGTAATACAAATATTATCATATAATATGTAATATCTTCTCATGGTATACATTTTATATATATATATATATATATATACATAAAATTTTCTTTCTAGCATAATAGCCATGATATAACTTACTTCAGATAAAGTGGGTTTTATCTTGCTCTTCGGGCATATATTAGACGTGTCTATGGGCATGAGCTTCGACAATGGGGTGCATGCTATCTTCATCATGTCAACAGGTAAGAGCAGTCAACGTAGGATCTTCTGTAATTCAGAAAAACTCGGTCTGAAAACAAGCGGCATAACAAATAAACGGTTTGTCAGTGGGATTCGATTCTACCTGTTCGACATTTACCGCGCGTAAAACAATGATGAAATGAATAAATTAGAATCAACTCGAGAGGGGAGGGGGGCAGGAAATACAATTTGTAGGTTAGTTAGTTAACTCGCATAATCATCATCCCAATCACTTGGTCGAGCCCGTAATTCACGATGTCTTTGCAGGCACCCCTTCTCCCTGCCGTGAACTTCCCCGGAAAAGAAGATACTTACGTTATACAGCCTCGTCACATCGGCGTCATAATCCGTGCTCATAAGCCGCTGTTCCAAATTAACGTGCACGGTGATCCGCGTAGTAATCGCGATCCCGCGCGCCATCCGCGACACTTCTCCTTTTCTTTTCTCTCCCCCCAAAAACCAATTTTTTTTACGAATACAAGCGCGCGCATTGAATTCGTCCGCGCGCGACGGACGAAACGCGCGCGCGCGCGCGCACATTGGCGCGGAATCGACTCTCCTCGATTCGGAGGGATAGTTCGCAACGCGAACTCTTCACGTTCCATCCGGGTGGGCGACGAGAGACCCGTCGCAGCTGACGACGTGGTTACGGCCGGAACATCATTATGCCGTTCATGAAGTCTAATGGAATTGGCTGTGTCGGCATCATCGTCGCCACGACGTTGATACGCAAACGTTTCGCGCCTGCGTCACCGCGGGGATCGGATGATGTTGGATTTATTCCTTTTTCCTTTATTGGAAGCTTCCCAGCGAGAGACACAAGGAGTCATTCTGTTTTTGTTTTTACTGAATATCGAAAAAAGATGGAATGACTCCGCGTCGACTTATATCTCTGGTTGGAAAGTTCCTTTGTTGAACCGACAGATTCACTATGTAAACTACTAGATCCTTTGCACAATGGAGGAACAGAAGTAAATATTAAATTTAAAAAAAAATGGACATAAATAAATGTAAGATGTAGCTTATACTTGTACTCCATTGTGCGTTACATTTAATTTTTATTTTCATAATTTCATATTTATTGCTGTTCCCCTCTACTGTGCGTAGGGTCTTACATCAAACTGCGTTATTACGTCACACGTTGCGTTATGACGTAATTTTTGTCGCTGCGTGGATACATCATAATTTTCGCGCATGCGGTTTTGTGCAGAGTTTTTTCATGCTTTCCTCTGAACTCTTCTTACCTTCTCGCCTGCAGAAATTTGCGAAGAGTCTGCGAAAGCAATATGATTTCGCTTTTCACTCTTTCCCTCAGAAAAGGTTAAAAAGATGAATTAAAAAATGTGACAAGTAAATGAATTTTAGTATTTTTTGGTCTTTTCTGCAACGACATTTTTCACCTTACGTGAAAAGATCTCTAGATAGCCAAATCTATCGAAAGCAAATTTTACGAAAGATCTACAACAAATTTGATTGACAGAACGAAATATATGAAGAGAATATAATAGCAGATTCTTTTACTATGAAAACCGGACAGAATCGTATAGCCATTTTATACACCATTTAAATGATACATTTCATTTAATTATGAAATAAATTTTAATTAAATAATTTTATTATATTATGAAATAACGTTCTGATTATTGAGTCTCTCTATATCTTGAACATTTCCTCTTTAGTATCATTTAAAAATTCGAATCGATTAGTTCCATGCCTTTGTAAATTTCATAATTACAGTATCGAAGCACACAAGTTTGTAACTTTATCGATTTTCTCTACTTCATGAAGTTGATCAGCAGTTTGGTTTTCGGGAATCTCATTTATCTCTCGCCAAATTCTACAAAGAGGCTTGCGCGTAATATTTTCCTTAGAAATTAGGAGATATTAATCTCTATTAGTCTTACATCTTACATTATAATTTACGTGTTCTACCTATGCGAAGTTTAGTCATATATTTACCCTATCTACTTTCCTTTCTTCGAAATGAATTCTGCCACAATGCAGAAATACAAAGGGTGGTGTAGGAAAATGTTTAGTTGGAATAAAGACTTTATTGTAACATCGTTATGGATTTCAAGGTATTGTACACAATTATCGTAAACCGACGGCTAGGTAATTAATTATTGTAGTGCTTATCTCAGCAGTGTCGTAGATAGGATGCTACTTATCTTTGGTACCGAATGTACAATATTGCAATGATGCTTGTTGTCGTTAATCTCGTTAGACAGAATGTAAGACAAAGTGTTGCAACTTCGCAGGCTATGTTACGCGATGTGATCGTTGTATTTAAGCCAATTCGAATATTTCATTAAATCGCAAATTAATGCAGCCGATCGCACTTGGTATTCAATGTCGGTTCTCTTTTTTTCTCATTTTAATGGTACTCAACGGTTCTTTTTTCCTCCTCTTTTAAAAAAGAATACTCTTACAAATAATACTTATTTATTAATAACGAGCAGGTGTTGCTGAAACAAGCCCTCTCCTCGTATGCCGTATGCTAAACGAACATCTGATTGTCCTCGTATCGAAGCAACAAGCACACAACATCTCGACATCTCGCGCGTAGAGAAACAAGCGGAAAAAGCAATACATAGCACGCCAGTAAATAGTCAAAAAGCTTTATTGAACTTTAGTGAAATTCTGTGGTGGGATTGGTTTCTGGACGCTCGCACGTAGGAACTATTACAAACTGGATAAATAACGCCACGAACAGAAATGTCGACTGAATTCGCACGAGGAAATTCGTTGCGCAGAGGAAAAAAAGGGGGGGGAGAGTAAAATGCACGAACGTAGTTGAATCCTAAATAGCTCTGGTAGTTCAATAAAACCTTTCTGCAATTTCGCGCTTGACGATGAAATTTGAAGCTACTTATCTTCCTCTCGCGATCGTACATATAATGCGTAGGGGTAACTTATTCTCGAATGTAACTTATTCTCGACGCAAAGGTACATCGTACAAAAAAAAAAAGAGAAACTGCACTTTTAGCTCTAGCCTACCTTACAAACATATTTACATGGACATCAGTCAAATAAATAGTTCTTAATCTTTGCCTAGACGAAGCAAGCCTCTGATTTACGCGGAAGATAATGAGAAAACAAAGGCGTGATGCTGCGCGACCGAGGTGAAACGTTATCTGGCCCGCCATGCCGACGAGGGGATATCACCTTAATTCGATTCGCAATGTTATTGTTACTACCGTGTGCTAACATCTAGACTCTCCTAACTAATGGCATTTCCATTTTGACTCCCACGGGCTCTCGAAGGTACACTCACATCTTGATCTCATAAATATTAATCTTTGGAAAGAAAACGGACCCGCCTCCCCCGTTCACGGAGTTACGTCTGTCGGATATGACTGCGATTCCCGGTGACCTTTTAAAAAACTTAATGGCGCATTTTTCAATACGATTTATGTAATATGAATATAAAATAATTTGGTCGCGTCTATAATCTGTTAGCCATAACAATGTGGCGTAATAGTGTTTCTGTGTGCAATATTTCTTTATACATATATATGTATATATATATATATATATATATCACAGAGATCAATTAATCCCCTCACGCTCTTCCCAGTTTTCAAGCGATGGCTTCGAAAATAATTGTCGCTTACTTCGCAATGTCATTTATAAAACGCTTAAGACAAACATTATGGTTATGGCTTATATAGATACGCCTGAACATCGGCGATGGATAGTCTCTACAAAAAATATGAGAATTTTTAAATGGGTACTATTTACAATTTTTTTTTTTTTTCTATTTTATTGTGTCTTTTAACGCGCGGCCGCGCGCGCGATCTACTTTATATCCCGACAAGAAATATATTTGTTTGTAAAATTAGCCTTTTATGGATCTTAGAAGAAAAGACTTGATCCTTGTACTATTTCTTTTCAAACTTCCGTTTAAAGTTTCTTAAATAAGAAGTTACAGAGATATGTCGCTCCCGTGCGTTATATTCTATATTTATACTCGTGCACGCTTACGACGTACTCGACATTCTTAGCATGAACGTGTATACTCATTTGTAATGCACCGTGAATTCTTCACCGAGAACGATTCAATGTGACGGACTAGAATGTTTCAAGTAGATAGATTTCTCTCAACACTGCGTCTCAAACGCTCTTTCAAATCTTGATCTCAATCAAGCACGAGCATCGGAGAGGCAATCGGATTGCCACGCTCTTCCGATTAATCGCTCATTTCCTCACGCCACCGACTTCTGCCGTTCGTCCCACTGGTTTTTACTATTCGCACTCGAGATAGTCCTCGCGACACCGGTATTGTTCTTGTTGGCCTCGAATTTTTGCTGCAGCGACGCCACGTTCGATTTACCGCTCGCCGCTTTTTGCAGTGGATTTGTTCTCGCTCCTGCACCTCCGTCCCCGCTCTTGGTTTCCGTTTTGGACACTTTCGACGATGGCACCTGCTTGGCACCGCCGTTGCTCGACTCCTTGGCAGACGGCGATAACAATTTGGTCGCACCCCCGTTGCCAGTTGGTGACTTCTTCCTTTCGGAGAGACTAGCTGCCTTGGACGAAATGTTGAACGGCTTCAACGGCGTCGTGGGCGTCTTCTGGCCGTTCCTTGGTAGCGTCGATGTCTTCTGAACGGTCTTCAGCGGCAGACTGAATTTAGGATTGCCGCCCACAACATCCGGCGACTTCGTTCCACCTTGATTCGAATTCGAGCAGCTCGAAACCAGATCCGGACTGTTGAACTTCCCCGGATTATCCTTAGGACTACAAGGCACATTTTTGACAGATACTGTAGTATGCGATTCTTCTTTATCTAAATCGCTATTCGACTTACTCGCGTTCAGTTGCGTCTGTCTCGTGGCTGGACTTACGTCCGAGTTCTGTTTCGTCGTCATCGAACTCGTGTCGGAAACTTTTGAGGATTTCAAGGATTTTAATGTATTATCTGAACTTTGTCTCGTGAGTTTTACGCTGGATTCAGGCATTTCCTTGGAGGTTGGACTTTTCGCGATGTTCGGGGGCGTCTTAGTCCTATTCAACGGCGGCTTAATCGGAACCTTGCTTTCAACTTGGTCATCCTTCTTGATATGTATCAGCTGAGATGATCGAGTCTTCATCGAAGCGAACGGTTTACATCCAACAGGATTCTCAGGCGGCTTCATACCGAGCTCCTTGGATAGCTCGTCGTTTATATTAGGATTATTAGACTTAAGAGTGTTTATCTTACTTTTATCAACGGGTTTTAAGTTATCGTTCGCATCCGAAATATTTTTGCTGGGCTCTTTCCTGTCCACTTGCGGGACATTTATCACGGATGGATGGAGGTAGCCAGAGCTGGTAGTGGAGCTCGAAGAATTAAATTTGCCGGAAGTTGAGTTTGAATATATACTACCGGGTATCTTGTAGTGGCTCGAATTCATATAGTCACCCAAGGAATTATTCGAGCCCATATTTTCTGAATTTTTTGTCGTATCTCCTTCGTCATCGTCTTTCTTCTTCCTGGTTAGCGTCGAGGTGGAATATATGGAATCGAAATTACGATTCGATATTTCCGACACGATCTCCGATAGCAGGCCCATCGACTCTAAACTGTTCGGACCACCGGACGTCGGGTCGATGCGTTTTGGCAGTTTATATTCATTATCAGCTGGTGTTACCTCCAATTCCGCGTTCTTCCTGTTCTTTTCCGGCACGGGTTCCTCTATCACCGCGTAAATATTGTCATTCGTGGGTGATTCCTCAGTGATTTTCGTTAAGGATGATTCTGAAATTAGATTCATGCAATCGTCGTAGGTATTCTCCACCGGTTTCTGAATGACTTTCACCGGCGGATTCTGATAACCTGGCAATCCTGGAATCTTTATCGCATTTTCGGTGGCTTTTTCCGCTGGTGTCACGTTTGGCGGACCCGGAGGTGGCGACGTGGGTCTTGTACTGGCGGGGATACTGGTAGGTCTTTTGACGGGCGTCGTCTGACGCATCGAACCAAACGTATGAACGAGTGGTCTTGGAGTGACTTTACTGTCTCTCATCGACTGAGCGCGCAAAACTACATTTCTTTTCTCGGTTTCGACCACTGGTATCACTGGGATGACTGGCATCGCTATTTCAATCTCCGATTGTGGTATCGGATTGGAGATCTCAAGATTTCTTAAAATCTCCTTATCAATGACCTTGTTGGCCTTGTGATGCTGGCTTCTCGGCAAAGAGTTCGTGTTCTTGTCATCTCTTTGCGAGCTTTGGGAGTTGCTTCTCATGATGCCGGAGGCAGGGCGCAACATTGACGCGATTCGGTTAAGCGTGCTGCCCTTTTCCGTCTTCTTTTCAGGTTCGGGCAGGATCACATTTGTCAGGGGTGTACTATTAGGTCTCTGCGGTTTCACAGAAGGTGCGGGGGTGGTCGGTGGAGCCGGAGCTGGACGCATGGGTACATCCGGGGCGGGTCTAGTAGGTACCTTGGCCACCAATTCGACAGATGTGCAAGTTGTGGCCGCCAATACAGGACTACTGATCAAGGGTCGTGCCGTGGACCCAGGATTCAGTGGTGGCAATGTCGGTGCGGCCGAACTTGTATCGTTAGAACTCATTGAATTACTCCTTTGCGGCGCATTGCATTTCTGCACATTCGGTTTAGCTACGTTTGTTTTTATCGCTACGGTAGGCATCCATCCAGGTGGAGGTGGAGCCGGTTTTGTAGGCTCGGCCAGTTTCGACTGATTTGAGTGGATCGGCGTGATCGTGAAACCTTTAAACTGGCCAAACATGTTGTTGTTGTAGCGCTCATCGGCTTCTGTTTTAGGCAGCAAACTCACGCATGCTGGATCTTGACTCAAGCTAGAATCGATCGTTTCGATGTTACGGGACATGGGGGTGGAACGATCGATCGTTTTGATTAGCAATCCATTGTGGCCGCGATCGGTCCTGAAATTTGAAGCAGAATTATAAGCGGGGGGATCGAGGAATTTATAAGCGCGCGATTAAAATACACAATGTGGCTAACAAACACACACTAATTTGTAGCAAAATAAATTTAATTGCGAATGTTTTTTTTTCTTTTTTTTAGTATAAATTAGAACGTAAAGCATTGCATAAATCTTGATAATGAAATGTGTTCGTAAATATTAAAATAATCTAAATGAAAAATAATGTAAATTTTATATGTTTCATTACAGTTGCATGTGTGTTCCAACATACACACGTATTTAATATTATTTGATGAATTATTATGTGCAAGCAACTCTTCTCAAATAAATAACTGTTCACCGCAAATCTCCAAACATAGCATGCATAGCCAAGAAAATTGTTGGGAAATGTTAGTTATAGATTAAGATATTAGTAGCAAGCGTTGGAAAAGAAGGAAATTGTTGATTATAAAGGAAGACTAAAAACACTTCATATGAATACTATATTTATTCAATAATAAGAATGTACATTTTATTTTTCCAAGTATAAGTAACATTATTGGATATATATTTGAATTTATATCCGAGAAATAAGTAAAGAATTAAAAAAATTCATTTTTATAATATTAAAATATAATAAAGTTAAAATTAAGTACGTCTAACGTAATTAATAAGAAATGATAATTAAAATTGAATGTCCAGTTTAGTATTTAAATAAAATTATCGATTTTGATAAAATGCAAAGAGCCAATATAAGAAAAGAATCTTCAACATGCTCATGCTCACATAACATGATTCTGCACATGCTCTATGTTATAAATAATCTCTCCAACAATTTCTGCCTTCATGGCGCAATATGTTCATATAAAAAATGTTAAATTTACAGTTTTTATTTTAAAATTCGTTGATCTTGAAAAATGAAGAGTATTTTATTCTAAAATTAAATTAGCCTTTAACATTAATTAGGATGTATATAATATTTTAGAAGGTTAATAATTTCAAAACTGTGAACAAAAAAAGATCATAGATACATTAAAAAAAATATTCTTTGTTATATGTTTTCATATTGCAGATATATGTTCATATCTGTACAATATTTTAATACTGTGCTATACATACTTTATAAAAAATTTTTTATTTTGCGTAACTAATATATAATTAATAAAATAAATGAATTAGTGTAAGTTTGTATATAAGCAATCGATAAGAACAAAATGCTGTTCATCTAATCATATTCTCAGATTTTATAAATTTATAATTGATCAGTGCATTGTGATCAATTTGCAAAGATATTCAATACAAGTTAAATAAAAAGTATATACATACAAGTGTACACGCGAAATCCTACATCTCGTTATACTTATTGCATAAAAAAATCTGTTTTAAACAGATTTAATCACATGATTGATAATATAAATTTAATATTATTTAAATTCTTAGTTACTAAACTAAATTTTGTAATTTGTGTAAAAATATTATTACGATTTTGACTACAATATATTGGAGCATTATTACGACTATCAGCAGTGGAATCACAGTAGGAATTACTTTAATGCATTTTGGCATTTAGTAATGTCCAAATATTGCTTTTATGTACCATCACCATTTTCGAGTTCCCATATTATAATGCAAAAATCATAGCTTGCAAAAAAATGCGCTACGATGTTTGCACTATGTCGAATAAAATTGTTCTTTTACATATAATCTAATTTATATTTATAATTTAAAAAATCAAACTAATTATATAATTAATATTTCTTCAAAAATATCAAAGATTTCTCGTATGATAAAATCTGTAATTTTTTTTTTACTTTTTTGAGTCTTTTCAGATTATATTTTATTTGAAGATAATAACTGTAATACTATAGTGAAAACTATTACTTGTGAATAGATTTTAAAGTATAGATTAAAACTTCACAAATATTAGAGTAAATAAATAATAAATTTTTTTATAATACGTAATAAAGTTTTACGTAAAATACTTATGCGTGATGAGATTTAAATAGGCAGGCAAGAAATCGCTCAGATCTTTGGCTTTAAGCTTTGAGCAGGTGCCGGTGGGGGCGGTGGTTTTTTATTGTAAAATGCAGCAGGCGTCTTATTAAGTAATAGATCTGATGGAGTGGCATCAGATGTACTAGCTGGACTTTCATTTAAATGCTCAAACTTGAATTCAGTATTAAGTGTGAGTCCTTTAGTGTTCTTGGGTGACTTTTTCTGAATTTGCTGAATACGCTCCGCTATTTTGGAGCTTAATTCTGATTTAATCGGAGTAATTTTCTTCGATTGAACTTCAACGATGGGTACCGAAGGAGGCGCAACTTTATTATAAGCTTCCTGCGTTTGGGGTTTTGCGCTAATATCCGGCTTTACGTTGCCGAACAGCAATGACTTTCTGTATTCGATATTATTGCTACACTTAATAGCATCCGGATTGGTAGTTGATATCAGATCGGCTTTAGTTATTTGAAGTAGCTCTTTAAGTGTGACATCGTCACTGACTACGAATACTTTATTATTCACATTACGAGAGGTATTCTTCGACGCGAAATAAGTGGAGATCATTGCTGGCAATCTGAGAAATTTGCTACCGGTGATACAATGTGTCTTTGAAGTAAGAACACCGAGTGACTTATTAGCATGCGGTTTGCGTTTCTCTTTAAAACGGTCGAGACTAGATACGTACGTAGACATCACATCCTTCTTCCAATGCTGTCCGGAGTTCCTGATATACCAAATGCCGAATAGCAGGAGAGATACGGTAGGCACCACTCCGAGAAAGATGACATAAAGTGCAATTATGAAGTCGTTTCTCGCTAAAAACACAAAACGCGCATCATATAGTATAAATAAAATGTCATATATAATATAAATATAATATAAATGTGGATAAAATATAGCTTTTAAACTAACATGCCTCAAATTAAGTGTCGTTTTAGTTTGTCCATTAGATATTACTTTTCTTGTACTAAAACTTTACAGAAATAAATTATTTATTTCTGTTTCTACTTGAATAATAGACTATACATAAAAATGTCAAACAAAATCAGATAGAGCATTATTCGACTGTTCTGAAGAGAATCAAATTTGAGGGACTAGATCTTAGATGTCTAATAATCCTTTTAATTGAATTTATATCTAAATTCGGAAAAATTGCTTTATATCACAAACTACATGCCGTTATTTTTAATAGATTGAAAACGCAGCAACTCAAAGCTAAAGCTAAATTTTTATTCCACGTTAATAAATTCATAATGAAATTTATAAAAATCGTTTACCTGTCTTCTTCTCCTACTTTACAGAAAAAATTCTTATTACAAAAGATATCACTCCTAAAAAATAATTACCATTCGGATCATCGGCTGGACCGCTATCTTCGGAACCTCCAACACCAGGTTGAAGACAATCAGGTGGTCGAAAGCCGCGATTACAATGACAATGGCCAAGACTGTTACATACTCCATTACCATTGCAATTATTCGGGCAACCTTTACCCCCAGATACGGATGCTCTTAGATCCGCCACTGACATGCATTTCTGATTTACACACATCTAGACAAAATTGCCACGTAATATTTAATTATAATCATAATGTAGATCAATACGAAATTTAAAAATATCAAACGTAGCAGAAAGAATTTTATTATTTTATTTGATATTTATTATTTTGTTTTTAGCTCCTTCTTAACTCGGTAATATTCTGTACATTTATTTTAAAAAGTTAAAGAGGATATCTTACCTTTCCGGGTGCACACTTGGCACCGTCCGGTGCGAGACCAGGATCAACCTGACTCAATCCAAGATCGACTATGGCCGAACGACACGGTATTATCTTCCCACCATTATTGATGAACGAATGGCTTAAAGTCGCGACTGATTCCATACCAAATTCTAATCGTTCGTTCAAGTGTTTACAGTGCAGCATGCCACAGAGAAGATTTCTACAATACATTCGTCATATTCACGTCAAAATCTTAACATTCCACAATATTTCATTTACAATATAATTTACAATATAAACTCACTCATCGCTACACTTGACGAAATGCGATTCGATGCGATTGTAGCCACAGTTACCGTTTTTCGTTCCCCTATTATTCATCTCGTAACACTGCGCATCGGAGGACCAACCAGTGGGACCCCACAATAATTTGCATTGATCGTCATGAGTCCTGCACGAGCCCTGATAGCAGAAGGCTTTGCCTACGCTACAAGTCTCACCATCCATCTTAAATACATCCGCCGGACAATATTCACTCTGACCGGTGCAGTACTCCGGCAAATCGCATTCATGCTCGGCGCTTCGGCATTCCGTGCCTGCGGTTTTTGGCCTGCAAGTCTTCAAATCACAGCACTCGCCGGTCGCGCAGCTCGCATTGCTGTGTAGCATACAAGTGGTCACGTTACAGCAAGGATTGTCGCAATTATCTTTCAGACCGCAGTCGCACTGTTCACCCGGTTCGACAAATCCATTACCGCATATGGGACTGTCGAAGAGTTTCTGCGGCTTGTTCCTCAGGCAGTAATCCATGCCGTGTTCGAAAGCTAGAGCTAAATGTTCCAATGAACATGTGGACCAGTGCTTCGGCCCGGACGAGCCGCTGGATGATGCCATTATACATCTGAAAAAGATATCAATGATATAATTATTATAATTAGATGAGAGAAACATTTGATACATTAAGTGAAAAAATTTGCAAATTGGCATGGAGTTGCTAATTTTTATTTTTGAATAATAAAATAAAATAGAATTTCTTAATGGAACGTTATAAAAAAAAGGAGATAAAGCGCACTTCTCTTCAGGACAGCCGCAATCTGGTCCGTCGTGCTCCATGCCAAAATTGTGGCCCATTTCGTGGGCGACGGTGGCCGCGACTAAACCAACGATGTTCGAATGATCCATGGAGACTCCGCCAGAGAACTCGTAAGTACATATCGGTCCCTTGAGTGCCTTACCGACTACTCCGCCGTCGAAGGTGATTCGCCTGTTGTAGGGATATAAATATCAAACTTATTGTGGGAATCAGATGGAATACATAACGTAAATTTATCCACACACTCACGTCAACAACTGGGCGTTATCGTTGGGAATATCCTTAACTAGCTTCTCCCTACGGTAGCGCAGGAAATTTGACAGTGTGACATCGCCGTTCGGCGAGAGTGCTATCTCGTCCGACTCGGACCACACCTGCACGCCAACCAGGGCGATGAATATGTTCAGCGGCATGTACAGCTGCAAGCACACCGAGATATACCGTCCCGTACTTTACATAGAGATTTCGTGGTATTGTGATACGCGGTATAAGGTCGAGTCCGCGCTAATTAATCTCTCTGTCTCGTTGTGTCAGAGAAAGAGATAGAGAGCGCGGAATATGCAGGACGATGTATTCTCTCGTTTTGCGGATATTAAACCGAATTGAGATCCATCATTGTCATTGTTAGTAAATTAAAAGTGAAAGCAGGAACATTAAAAGTTTCGAGAAAATTAATGAATCCAACTTTATGTAGCTTTCAAAATTATACTTTGACATTAGTCTCTCTCTCTCTCTCTTTCTCTCTGCGTAAGTCAATTTGAGATATAATTATCGAAATATTCTTCATAAGAATATAATATGCATGTCGCAGAAAAATGTCATTTCAATTTTATAGTGAAAAATATGTTGAGCGTAAAACAGTTTTACAATATAACGGAATAGTTTAAGCAAAGTATAAAAACCAATCGTGCATGATTATTTTAATAAAATATTCTCGCGAAATACTTCCTCTTTGAAGAAAGGAAGGTTCGCATATCCATGTGAACATAATTACATATGTAACAGCCAATTAACCCAAATAAAGTAAAATTCATAGAACCGCTGGAAACTGACAGTTCGAGATCTGTTCCCGACGAATTTTAGGAAAAGGAAACCGCAAATGTTCAAAACGGCTAATTGGATAATGGAGTTGTTGAATTAGCGGTTACACTCCTCAGGCCGTTCTCATTCGACTTTATACATCCAATTAAATTACAACGGCGATGTTACTTACGGCGTTAATAATGTTGGCGATGTCCTTACAGTGCTGATGCACTTTGTCCAAGTTCTCGTCTAGCGCGGTATATTCTTTCTTATCGATTACAAGTACTAGCTCCACGTAACGCGATTGCCTGTTCGCGTTATAAGGCCCACGGATAATTTCAGTCGCTCTTTTGTGCTACGAAAGAAAATCCAACGATACAGCATCGATCGTAAATTCATTAACTTTAACTTTAACTCATTAAACTAAATGATTGCAAAAATTCAAGGCGATGGCTAAAAAATTTGTCAGAAATCAGAAGTATGTCATGTCATAATATCAGACGTAATCATCAATGGCTTCTTGGAAATCCGATTTGTCAGAAATTCTTTACTTCCAATGAAGTAAATGACCCGATAATCGTTGAAAATTCTCTGTTTAAATTTTCGCCAAGCGCAAGACAATTTTAAAGTTACGAACTATTCACACAGTTCCTTCAACAAAAAGGAAGGAAAAAAACGAAGGATACACACGCGAAGCACCAAGGGATACGAAGACCCCAGCGACTACGTTCTTTGAAGTCGTATAATTTACCGGGGAAACGATTTGAGCGAGTTCTTTTTTCTCTTTTCCTTTTCTTTTCTACTGTTGCACGGTTTTCTGTGTACATACCCTGGAGATCCTTTTAATCTCTCGATGATCAGGGAGAACGTCGTGCGGCGTGCCTTCGTAACCTGCAACCGAGGAAAAACGTCAAACAGGGACGCGATCGTCGCCAATGGGATTCCCGGTAGAAGCGAGGAGAGGACAAAGAGTCGTCGTAGCGAGCACGGCCAGAACCCTGCTCTCACATTCGTTAAGACCGTTAAGGAGAGACCAGTCTTCCCGAGGCGAGTCTTCGGGTCTGCTTGGGACACCGTCATCGAAGAAGGACGACAGACCCGGTTCGTGCTCGCTCCTCTGTACTAAAGCTCGTATTTCTATGAGTCAAAGCTCGCGAATACTCTTAGAGAAACCCGCGGAAATTGCTTTGGCAATAGAAATGCGCGACAGTGCAGACATGACTTCGAGACGAACGCAGAAAAAACACTCTTGCTTGTAAATTTAAAAATTTGGCTAGATACAGAAAATAATTTTGTTGAATCTTCAAAATTATTATATAATGTTCAAGATTGGCCAGAAGATAAAAAATTTTTGCAATATTATTATCACGTTTAAGCATCTTATATAATAATTTTGATGATCCAACAAAATTATTTCCAGATCTTTGATTAAATCTTTTCTTAGATTTTCTAACAAAACTGTTCCTTATTGGTGAGTCAAGTTGTATTAATCATTAAAAATTCTGAGATTTCAATTATGAATCTATTAGTTTCTCTTCTAGAAACCAGAAGTATGTCATGTCATTTTTTTTAAGGTATCAAATTAGCTTTTTTTAGAGAAGCACTCTTAAAGAAGTGGATGTACGCAGTTTTAAAATAATTGCTATTCAAAATATTGGCGTGCTCTAATAATATTAACTATTTTTTTTAACACAATTGTTCTCTCCTCTGTTTTTTATATTATTAAATATTTGATTATTGCAGAGAAAATGCAGAGAAGTGTAATAAGAAAATAGGAATAATTGGCTCGCAAAATGCTTACCACACGTATTATTGGCAATGAGATCGCTGTGATTGTAAATGTAATGCGCGGAATCCAAGCTCTCATCTTCCGGATGGATGTGATGAAGATTCTCACCATCGAAGATGACACCGCGCAATCCTCTGCAAGTGGATAACGCCACCCACGAGTCAGGAACATCCCGAACGCTACCTTGGTAATGACAGAGTTCCTGCAAGATTCAAGCAATTCATGAATGCCATTCGCATAAAATAAACGATATTAAAAGAATTCTCTTTATTTCCTCCGAGCGTCCTAAATTTGCCGATATTCATTTGAAATTCGCTTCATTGCGTTTTTTCCGCTTCGCGTTATGCGCGTTTTTAATTTTCCCTCGTTTTAACAACTCAAGATATTCTGCGGAACTGCGAAAAAGTTTTCTTGCAAAAATATGCAAACCTATGCGACGATCTCATTCACGAGTAAAGATAAACTCGTAATTAGATTTATGTGCGGTTTTAACTTTTTATTTTGACCATTTAGCGCCTCAAAATTCGATATAACGCTTTGCGATAAAGTTCTGTATAATTCTTAAATATTCGAAACAATTCACGATTACATTTAAAAAAACTGTATTTTTGTATTTTTCCATCTCCACAAAATTCTTCCTCATAATACAGATTAATCATTATATATTTGTACCAATCATTTGTATGATTAAGTTAAATAAATTTAAAGCGAAACGCTGATTCTCAATTCGCTCGTTTGTTAGAAAGAAATAATTTAGTGCGCAAAGGGTTACATATATTTCCGAGGTTAATTCGATCTCGACCCTTTACTTTTAATTTTCTCATTTGGTGTTTAGCCGATTCGCGACGCTTATGAATCACGCTGCATAATACGTCGAGAAATTGAGTTGAGCCGTGCGCTTCGGCTGCAACTCCGCGGGGCTTATCTCGGCTTCTCGGATGCATCGGAACCGTACATCGGCTCGGTACAAATATAGTTGTCCCAGATTCTGGGCGTGCACACGCTGCTGGCGAACCCCCGGCGATTTTTCACGTTCCTTTTTCCGCCGCGAGGAAAACGAGGGAGGAGAGACCTGTTACTTTGGAGAGCAAGCACGTTACTCTCCCGAAAGGAATTGCTCCAACAAAGAAGCACGATCTTGCTGGCGGAGGGAGGGGGGGGAGGGGAGGGGAGAAATATCGGGATCGTCTTTGAAACGAGGCGCTTTCTCCGTTACGAGAGCCATCGATCGTGGTCCATTATCCGATTGCCGCATGGGGGAAGGTGTACGGCGACATGACGGGCGAGATTGAATTAACGTGAGAGAACGTGTCGGTATCGTTAAATCGTCGGTATCGATTATTTAATGCAACCGCGACTTTTATTTATTGGCCGATGACGTAGCCAGCTCGCTTCGCGTCCTCGTTGCTTTTATTTTCGACGTTGTCCTTTTTAAAAATGCCGCAGCGTTTCCTCCTTGCGACAGAGGTTCAATCTCGACGATGCTCAAGGTAGATTTTTTCCACGGCGTAAATCTTTATCATTAAAAAAAACCTAGGCGTTTTTCCAGGAATTTAAATATTAAATGACGAATTGAAAATAAATCTGATAATGACAAGACTGTATGCATAGCCATAATTAATATCAAATGACATTCTAGACATTCTAGTACGCGAGATGCTAAGAATTGATTTGAGGATCTGCGTTACGATGTATCTAAAAATTCCAGAACTCGGCTGACATTTTTTTTTTTTTTTTTTATAAAGAAACACCCTCCTTTTGTATTGTACAAAATGAATTTTCATAAATACTCATTCCCTACGGAAATTTGAAGCCTTGGCATATTTTGTTTTTCAACTTACGATATTTTTCATACGGAATTCATTGCCGTAAGAAATTCATAATCATTTAAATGCGTCCAAGGATATAATCACTGGAGCCTGCTGATATATAACGGACGGATAAAGGGTACGGCTTGATTCATTGTCGAATAAGGGAAAAATTTCGCGAGATCGCGTAACGTGCCCCATGGAAAGCGCGTTACGAGGCGTGTCGGCGGAATATGAAATTTTGTATTCGCCCTCGGTGAGCTTATCCTCGCTTCTATTAAATGTAATATCGCGTGTGCACCGCATCGGGGATTATGTAGATTTATATCACGAGAGAGCTGAGCGAAAGAAAAATACATTTCGTAACAGACGCGTTCTTATTACCGGGACGTAAATTTCAGAACCGCGTTGAGAGCATAAAAGGATCCTATATGTCCTCCTAATAATGGATCCTGGTAGTTTTCTAATCGTTTCTCTATCTGTAAAATAATCTTCGTATTCAAGTTACATTGAAAGCGAGAATATAAGACACCTATTACATTCTCGATCTATCAAATTTGACGCTCAATCTTATCATATTTATATATATATTTGAATTTCGATATGCATTATCGATAATACAAATATAAACAATACAGGTATTCTTATTGTAAACTTTTATATATTTTTTTATGTGTGTTCGTATTGAAGAAAAATTATTATGCGATATTTTAAGAGGAAAAAGAAATTATATTATATTTCAGATTTCTAGCTTATTCCATCTTCGTATTTTCTCCGTTAACGAGCTCAAAATTGGTTCATCCGCACGGATAAACTCGTATTTATATAACGCGAAGAACGGGAGGTGAGGCGACGGAAGGCCGAGCCGTTAACCGGAGCCGCCAATTAATTAAATACAATTGTGCAAAACAGTAAGTATGACGTCGCGGTCAGCGCAACGAACTCTGCCGGTTGGCGGCGCGTTTTATATTATTCGCTTGACTTTTGTTCTACATTCTGGATAATTTTTTGTGCTCACCATTGTACCATTATATGCAGAGTAGGATATTTTAATCGATAAAAGATATCTTCATTGTTCATATTTATAACGTCATAACTCATTTTCTTCTTATTATTATAATTGTTTCATATTATTATTTTATAAGTTAATACGTTCTTTTTTTTATGATATATGCTCTCTTTATTTTATCCTGTCTAAAATTTATGCTGTCCTTCATGTTATAAGATGAATAAATTATTTTTGCGTGCTAGAATATAGCTAGAGTTTAAATCTGCTTTAATAAATTCAAAGTTAATCCTGCTGCTCAACTAAAATAAAAAGACGTGATAATTACATCAGTATCGAGCCCACAGAGATACCTTCCACCTCGGACTACAAAGCACATGCTAATTTGCATTACCGCATTCATGTAAAAGTCAAAGTCACTTTCATCGCAAGTGAGATAATCGCATAATTTTGGAACTCGTAATTAGAATAACATCTCCGAAATACTTTCGCAATTTCCGTAAACTACGGAGAAATTTTATTATCGCTGATCAGCGCGAGTGAAATTTAATACAACCGGTTTCTCAATCGGCATACATCGACCAGAGTATATATACACCAATTCAGCGTTTTATTTTTTTTTCATATATATCTTTGATATCTATTTTAACAAAAGCCTAGACAAAATCGATTATCCGTTAAAAATTATGATACGCGGAAGACTAGACGATTACCAGGAACAATTTCCGAAGCAATCCTCACGTTTTGCAATACAATACATTCCGCAGACACGTCGCGCGATCGCCGCAACCGTGTTTTGGGTGTTCCATCGGCTTTTCTCCTTTTCTTTTTTTCGTTCTTCCTGCCTTTCTCTTCCGCCGCGGCATTTGAATTATAAAACGGAAACGGCCGTCGTGCTCGTGCACGGTTTTAACGTGACGGAGTTATACGTTGTTCGTCCGGGACCAACGCGCTACACGATTGCGTGTGTTTACGGCGAGACGCCGTTTTATTAAACATGCAGACGGCAGACGGAGAGTGAGTCATCTCGATCGATTTCGGGCCGAGTCGCGTATATTACACCTGCACGAGAGCTGTCTACCTTTTTCCGTCCGTGCGATGACGCCGGGCAGATATGACGAGGGGGCAACGGACACCCCGTGAAGACTTTTAATTTTCGTGGGACCGGAAGTGCGCGCAGACCGAGCATGGAAGCAAAACATGAACTTTCTCACAAATAGACTCCCGAGCTGTCTAAAAGAGGAACGGCGATTCCTCGTTTAAAAATCATCTTCTGTCGCTACTTCACTTTTGTCCGACGTATCTTTGTTAACCCGAATGAATAAAACATCGTCTTGGAAGTCCTCCAATGCCGATCAGTTCTGTTGTGAGGGTCGCTAGTAGTAACGTGGAATATAATAGCGGCGAGTTAATAAAAATTAATAAATGTAATCACTTGGAGTTTTGTCGGATTAACGTTAAATCGTACGGAACGACCTTCTTTACGTAGGACGTATCGTAAAATCGATGATTCTATAGCCACGTTGACTCGTAGACGTCACTGTGTGTGGCATCGATTCGCGAAGGATGACGGAAAACGAACGCAGAAGAGATGTAGAAAACATACTAATGAATAAAATTCACATCTTTCTCCTTTAATAAGACGTACAGGGAAATTAGCCTCGAACAGCCGATACGCGCACATCAGTCGCTTAATTTAATATCCGATCACGTTCCCATTGAGTAAAACTTTCAAAATGATGTAAGAACGTAAAAGAAAGTAAACATAAAAAAATATCTAATCTGAAAGCGATCCTTCATTGTCCGCGATAATCTTCTTCTTTAAAGATCATCCTTATCAGACTGAAAGGGAAGTCTTTTATCGATTATCTCTTTTCTCGGGAGGGAAACGAACGCGCGACCGTACGTACGATCGTAAATCTCACGTCGCGTATCAGGCCATTAAATGGCGATAATGCCGTTCTTTGTATGCCATTCGGCATATCACGAGTCGCGAGTGAATGGCCCGAGTCGTGAGCACCGGGTTAAGTTGAATGAATCCTCAACGCTTCTCTCGATCGGCGCTGCGTCCGACGGAATTACACTCGCGCTCTCGGTATCGATTAGCTAACGTTGTTTGCGGAAAAGCGGTTAACACGCGAATACCGGGTGCCTAAGTGTACTTACAACTTTCGACGGGGTATGCACCTTGTACGTGCCCCGATGCTGGTGGCGTTCCTGATAGCCGACTGGAATTAAATCGGTGTTCAGTCGAAGGTCGAGAACGCGCTCGACGCCGTCCACATTGAAACCCACCGTCAGCACGTCCGCGTGTTCGAGGTCCTGAAAAAAAGTAAAATATTGATCTTGGACTTCGAAGTTAAAAAATTTCCTTCCGTTTGTTCTCGATGATTCTCAGAGCGAAATAAGGAAATATAAAACACCGTTGTATAGAAGACGTATCGGTTTCCTTGATTGGAAAATTCGAAAAAAAAAGGAACAATTTCTGCTCCATTTTTTGGCATAATTTATCGAAAGGTATATAAAAATATTATCTAAAATTACGTAATCAGCTGTAAATAAAAAATAGGTTTCATAAAATGTTGATAAAATAATTTTTTTAGATAACCGGTATATTTTATTGTTAGGGATGGCCAATCCCGTGGCATTCTCGCTACTAACGGCGCTTAAAGAAACACGCATTCTAGAAAAGAGAAAAATAAAAAAAAATCAAAAATAATAATAAACTTTGCATAATAATAAACAGACGAAATATTTCGTTTTCGATACAAGCGAAGAGAATATAAGTAAGATTTTAGTCTTTTTTTTTAATTCTGTAGTAGAGTGATACATCAAAGATTTTGAATATTCATAATGGCACGCCAGACAAAAAAGGTTGGTTACCTCTGTTTTAGAATGTTTTTATTTCATCTCAATTTCTGGCAAATTAGCAAGTTATTAGCAGGTTTCAATCAGATTATTCCCTGTTGTAAATTGATAAATTATAAAAAAGACGATTTATCGTATCGTCGCAAGTCAATGCACGAATAACATGGTCGATTCTTTCTTATCGAACACACCAAAGAGCCCGATCGCGCACCTGTTGCATTAATAGCGATAAAACTGTGCTTAGACCTGAGAAAAGAAAATTTCCCTCACGAAAATTGAGTTCCCGAGATCGTTGCATCGAGCTGCAATTAATTTTATACTTGGATGCTCGCTTTCTTCGACCACGAAACCAAATGGCTAAATTCAACAATCCAATAATATATTATTTAAATGATAAATCGGAAGACCGAATACTGAGAATTTGAAGCGAGCATATTTTGCCGACCGAATATTAAGCAAGCGAACAGTATTGCATATATATATATATATACATTGTAATATAATTTTTAAAGTTAGTAGACGCGTGAAAAAAAATTTCTCTCCAAAAATACGTCGTATATAATTCGAATGTTTGTTTTTCACCTTTAAATTTTGAGATTAATAACTATTCTTATACGCCCAAAATTTATTCACAAACTTCAAATAATAGCTTCATTTAGCTTAAGTAACAATAACTTCGCGTTTATAATGCGGAAATATAACCGTTTCAACTTTTCATCCATGATGATATGATTTCAATGCAATGTTAATCACGACAAACAAGCATGAATTCAGATTCGTGATTATGAGAGCGATGCCAATTATTAGAACGGCCGATGATACGTCGTGTTTGTCGGTACGATTAATCCGATTTGCCGGCTGCCGTATCATCGAGCGTAAAGCAGTTAGTGTTATTAGATTGCGATTCCGAGGCTGGAAAGCCTGAAATTCATAAACTCTCACTCGAAATTGCGGCGTATTCTCCTCTCTTTCAAGCACGGTCCTAGGCGCTGCCGAGTAAAAAGAAATAAATTTGCGAATCTGCATTTGCACAACCGTCGAGCCCAACGGCGCGCGCGATATTTAATTCATGGGGGTTGTCCCCCGGTCGAGATACTTTTCCTGCGAGCGTTTTCATACCGAAGAGGATGGATGCTGCGTTACTCGTAGATGCCGTCACGAGAATGATACCAGAGCCGACAGTCGGCTCGAAAGCCGACTTGTTAAATCTTGAGATTGAGTCCGGATGAATTTCTTAGCGAACAGTTAAGTAAAGATTAAAGTTGCTATTTTTGTCGGCATTATAGACTTTTGCTTATTTCTTTGATCACAATTTGAAAATCAAAGAGACATATTGACTAAATAATATAGTGTATATTTTTGTCATAAAAAAATCTGTAGAAAGTAAAATAAAAATATATTTATACTAAAAAAGCACATGAATGTCCCTAAATGTTTTTTCGATGAAATACGTAAATAAAGTATTTTCTTTCAAAAATTTCTTCTGCATTTTTTTATTTCTCTGTCGATATTATGAAAATGATTCAAACAAGAATAAGAAAATCCGTCAAAACTTATTAGTCAAGATAATTAGCTACCACCAATCCATTTAAAAGTTTATGCTAGATACGATATCTCCTGAGCAACATTTTATGTCGGTTTTATGTTCTATAGTCTACGTCGACGCAAGGAAGAATATAAAAGAAGCTTTTAACCTCCGTCCTTCGTCGTATACACGCAAAGATGGTAAACCAACGCGATGGAAGCTCAAACTCTTAATTGCTCTAAGTGTCGCGTTCATTTGTGGAAATTGTGGCAGTAATTGCTCGTGTAACGCAGCGGAACTGGCGAGCGGCGTTTCAACACGGGGGTGGATGAACCGAACGAGGGTGCCCTCATGCCATCATGTATTATTGATTAGCCTCCTTGAGCACTTCAACAGCAAACATGATGTCTAAACATAGTGCAGTCCTATCTAACCAGTCGTTTGTGTATAAAAAAGTAATCCACACTTGTAATTGCGAAAATGTACAAAACATGACAGTCTAAGTAATTTAACGTTGTAATTTCCTGCGAAAATTGCGAAACGTTATGAGGATGGTTCTTATGGTATATCGCAAGTATGATTGGTGAAACAATTTTAAATCATAAATATTAGTGAAATGATTCAGCTAAATATAAATACTTTCTTTTTAAATATTTAAATATCATTTAAATAATATTTTATCTCGTAACAGAAGCCATCGAAAATATTATACAAAATTATTTTTAGGATAAGGTATGATTAGATAAGGTAGGAGGTGACAGGTATATCCGAAATAAGGTAATTTGATAAATATACCCCTGTCAAACGCGATTACAAATGACGCGATTACAAGTTGAACTCTGACTGAATCAACTGGAATTATTTCAAAATTCAAATGCACGTGAAATCAAACTTCACATGATAAAATATAAATTTTAATTGTGACTTCTGCATCATTCGAAGTTTCGCGATATATATATATATATGTATATTGGAAATGTGAACCCGATAATTTTCAGAAACGCATTAACCAAATTGAGGAGAATCTCCGATGTGATATCCGAGGCAGCTTATTGTCGGAAGATAAATGGCGCAGTAACGATATTTCTCCAACGATACCGACGTAACAGTGCGCACGGTCGACAGTGCACTCCTTTGAAATCCTTTCATGGTGGTGTATATCATTGTCCAGCGACAGCAATCTATACTTGGCTCGCGGCCACCGCAGCAACCGTTTTTGATATCATACCACCGCTGGCTCCTGCACAGCGGCATCGATTCGCATTCATCTTCTGTCGA